TCACCCTCACCACCACCACCTCACCACCACCCCCTCACCACCACCACCCCCTCACCACCACCACCCCCTCACCACCAACACCCCCTCACCCCCACCTCCTCACCCTCACCTCACCACCCTCACCTCCTCCACCTCCTCACCCTCACCACCACCACCTCACCACCACCCCCTCACCACCACCACCTCACCACCACCCCCTCACCACCAACACCCCCTCACCCTCACCTCCTCACCTCACCACCCTCACCTCCTCCACCTCCTCACCACCTCCTCACCCTCACCAGCACCACCTCACCCTCACCAGCACCTCACCACCTCCTCACCACCACCACCACAATCATCCGCCATAGAATAATCATCCGCCATAGAATAATTGTAAACCAAGAGGTGTTGACAATGACTCAGCTAAGAAGGATCTTTTTAAATCTGGTGAAAAAACATGAAGATCTTGATGCTTCAAACTACAGATAATTTGAATACCACAAATGTCTTGTATTTTTTCACGGGGGTTGGCAACAAAACAAGGCTCATTGACTTAGCTAAGGTGTCGTCAGCTCTTGGCACAAGTGTCTGTTTGGCACTTATTGGGATCCATACCTTCTCAGGTTGTGACTCTACAAGTGGTTTTTATGGCAAAGGCAAAAGAAAGGCATTTCCTGTTGCTTGTGAGAAAGAGGGATATCTGACTACCTTTACAAATCTGGGTAGCAGTTTTAACCTAGACCAGTCTACCTTTGAGCTACTTTGCACATGTGTGCCACCTGTATGGCCAGTCATCTGCCGAAAATGTGAACGATGCAAGATACAAAGCATTCTGTACGGCATCGTCAGCTTTGCCAGAACTATCCGTGCCCCCGACAAGTGACGCCCTGTACCAACACTGCAAAAGGGCAAACTAGCAAGCAGCCATCATGAGACATTCTCTGAAAGGTATAATGTGTGCACCTTCACCCGTCGGCAATGGATGGCACCTCGAGGATGGTGAGTGAACAGTGACCTGGATGACTAGAAACCCTGCCCCTGAAAGTGTGTTGCAGGCAGTCCACTGCAGTTGCAAGCAGAGCAAATGTGAGACTGGAAGATGTTCCTGTGTGTCTGCAAGACTGTCTTGTACTGATTTATGTCAGTGCCAAAATTGTGCAAATGTTTCACAGGAAACAGAAGACCTACATGGGATGATGGCTCTGATAGTGATAGGGATGATACCGATGAGTAAATATGCGCTGTGTTATAATTTAAGGTGATTTTGAGCTGTAAAGAATCTGTTGTAGAATTGTAATTTTTTTGGCAGCATTCAAAAATAAGGGGCCAGTGTAACATTTCGAGTCATTTAAGCCAACTTGGGCCAAAGTGTGCTTATATTTGTATCTTTCTGTGATTACACAGTACCTACTGAAAATTTTGATGTATAAAACATCAGAGTTTTGCTAAATTTATGTTTAATTTTGCTTGTCAATGAAAACATTCATTTAAAAAGCAGTGCCCAGGTGTGGGAACGAAAATCATTTTCTAGCCGCTTTTACCTAGTTCACCTTATGTCCTACTACTGGGTTGTTTACACGCCTGACCTGGTCACAAAACACCGGGTGCAGAGCTCCCACAAAGCTTTTTTGATAACAAAAAAAGAAAACCGGTCACCCTGAAAGCCCCCCCAACCCCCACAGCCACAAACGCAGGCAAACCAGCACCACCACCTTCACCAGACGTGGTGGCCACACGGAACAAGTGCTTTGGTTGGGAGAACAAAACTTACACCGAATAACCGAGAAGGCATCTTAACCCGCCCCCCACCACCAACCCACCACCCGTTTCATGTTGTACATGTCGCTTGGAGCGCACACACGAGAACCTCAACGCGGCCACTTCCATCCCCACTACCCCCACCCACTACTCCCCAACACAACCCCCCCACTACCCACACCCACTCACTCACCCACTCACTCGCCCACTCACTCATCCAGTCATTCACTCATCCAGTCACTCACTCATCCAGTCACTCACTCACTCATTCACCCACTCATTCACCCATCCAGTCACTTAATGACTCACCCACTCACTCACTCAACCCACTCACTCACTCATCCAGTCACTCGATCACTCACCCACCCACCCACTCACCCACAGCCACCGACTCACTCACCCATCCAGTCACTCGATGACTCACCCACTCACCCAACCAATCACTCACCCACTCACCCACTCACCCACCCACTCACTCACCCACTCACCCACCCACCCACTCACTCACCCATCCAGTCACTCGATGACTCACCCACCCACCCAACCACTCACCCACCCACTCACCCACCCACTCACCCACTCACTCACTCACTCACCCACCCACTCACTCACCCACCCATTAACTCACTCACTCACTCACCCACCCACTCACTCACCCACCCACTCACTCACCCACCCACCCACCCACTCACCCATCCACTCACCCACTCACTCACCCACCCACTCACCCAACCACCTACCCACCCACCTACCCACCCACCTACCCACCCACCTACCCACTCACCCACCCACCCACCCACTCACTCACCTACTCACTCACCCACCCACCCACTCACTCACCCACCCACTCACCCACCCACTCACCCACCCACTCACCCACCCACTCACCCACTCACTCACCCACCCACCCACTCACCCACTCACTCACTCACTCACCCACCCACCCACCCACTCACCCACCCACTCACCCACTCACTCACCCACTCACTCACCCACCCACTCACCCACCCACCTACCCACTCACCCACCCACCTACCCACTCACCCACTCACTCACCCACTGACCCACTCACTCACTCACCCACTCACCCACCCACCGTCCCAGCCGCACGTCGCGACAAGGCCCCCCCCCCCCCCACTCTAGGCGCGCAATCTCGGAATAAATCCCATTGTCGCAACAAAGACACGTGGGTGGGAGGGGGAGGAGGGGTGTGTGGTCGACAGGGGTAGACTTGCGCGAAGGTTTTAGACAACAAAGTTTGCGTTACGCTTTGCCGGATAAATAAACCCAAGTCCGTCACCCTCATCCAACGCTTGCTGCTGCATCGAGGGCGGGGGGGGGGTGTGGGGGGGGGCCTGGCAGGTGGAGACACCGAGAGGGGGACACCACCAAGCAGAGCGAGACTCGCGTCAAGGTGACGAGGTGCAGGGCACCTCATCACCCCCCTCCCCCAACTCCCTTCACGTGTCAACATTACCAGCAGCGATGTTTTGACGACGTAAATAAACAAGCTACGCCATCACCAGCAGCAGCAGCAGCACCGTCAGCTGTGAGCGCTGCGCGCTGCGCGCTCCGCCTTTTATAGTCCGGCCTCGTCACACCGCCACTTCCGCTCGCGTGTTCATCCGCGAAGAAAAGTAGTGCAGGTTTATTTTTTTTTGCTTGCAAAGTTCCGTCTCCTTTCGTTATTAACGGAGGAGATCGATAACAGAATCGTCGGCGACTGTTGCGCTGCGCTGAGAAATTGCGATCAGCGGTGGAAGAGGAAGGGGAGGGGAAATATACATCTCGGGTGTTGTTTTTTTACTTACAACTTTTATTATTTTCAATGTATTTTCTTTCTGTTATTTTTATTAGTTACATTTTAAATTATCATTTTTATTCTTGTATTTTGTTTTAATTTCTTGGATTTTTTGTTTTCTATTTACGCGACTTTACCGAAAGAACCAAGAATCTCGGGTGTTATTGTTTTGTGCGAACCTTCCCACCAGGCGGAGTGATATCGCGAGTGGTGGGGGGGGGGGGGTTGAGAGGGGGGGTGAGAGGGGGGGGGTGAGAGGGGGGGTGAGAGGGGGGGGTAAGAGAGGGGGGGGGGGGTGAGGGGGGGGTGAGGGGAGGGTGAGTGAGGGGGGGGGGGTGAGTGGGGGGGGGGTGAGTGGGGGGGGTGAGTGGGGGGGGGGGTGAGTGGGGGGGGGGGGGTGAGTGGGAGGGGGGGTGAGTGAGTGGGGGGAGGTGAGTGGGTGGGTGGATGGTGAGTGGGCGAGTGGGCGAGTGTGTCTGTGTACCTGTGTCTCTGTGTGTCTATGTGTGTGTCTGTGTGTCTATGTGTGTGTGTCTGTGTGTCTGTGTGTGTGTCTGTGTGTCTATGTGTGTGTCTCTGTGTGTCTATGTGTGTGTCTGTGTGTCTGTGTGTGTGTTTAGCAGCACTTGCCCCCACAAAGTGTGTGGAGGCTACACGGGGGAGCTTTGCCGGTGTAGTGAAGGATGTTGCGGGCGGGCTGGTCTGGTTTCCCACAGCCTCAAGATTGCGCAACTTTGACAACGACTCGTCACGAGCGGGTGGTGGTGCTGGTGCTGGTGGTGCTGCTGGTGGTGGTGGTGGTGGTGCTGGTGGTGCTGGTGGTGCTGGTGGTGGTGGCTGGTGGTGATGGTGGTGCATGATGGTGGTGAGGTGTGCCTGGTGGACAGTGATGGGCTGGTGATGGTGGTGCGTGGTGGTGTGTGATGGTGGTGTGGTGGAGGTGCTGGTGGTGCTGGTTTGGCTGTGCTGGATGGTGATGGTGGTGGTTGCTGGTGAGTGGTTGCTGGTGGTGGTGCTGGTGTGGTGTGGTGGTGCGCTGCTCGGTGGTGCTGGTGGTGGTGCTGCCTGGTCTGGGTGGTGCTGCTGGTGGTGGTTGCTGGTGGTGGCTGGTACACGCGGTGCTGGCTTGGTGCTGGTGGCTGGTGGTGGTGGTGGTGGTGGTGGTGCTGGTGGTTGCTGGTGGTGTGCGTGGTGGTGGTGCTGGTGGTGCTGGTGGTGCTGGTGGTTGCTGGTGCTGGCTGGTGCTGGTGGTGCTGGTGGTGTGGTGCTGGTGGTGCTGGTGGTGCTGGTGGTGCTGGTGGTGGGTGTGCTGGTGGTGCGTGCTGGTGGTGCTGGTGGTGGTGACGTTGGGCCGCCTCATTAACATAATTTATTCAGTTGCGGGGTCGCTCGTTGTGGGAGGAGCGTGGCTTGTAACCCGAGAGTGACGTCATGTCACCTCCTGCTGCTGCCGCGTGACGTCACGAGGTCACAGGAAGCTGCCGCTGCTCTCCGTGCTTACTGAAATCCGAGGTGAGAATTTCTCATCGTTGTGGTGGTTGTTGTTGTTGTGGTTGTTGTTGTTGTGGTTGTTGTTGTTGTGTACCAAGGTAGAACCTCGCTGTTTCTCTCTCTCAGGGATGTCAACTGAGTAGCAGCGAGTGTTGGAATCGATGTCCAGATTGGAACTTTGCCCCGCGGGGCCTTGCCTCCTGCCCTCGCCTGACTGCGTTCAAGTTTAATTCTCTCGCTCAAGATAAATTTGTCTTCACGCGGCTCGCTACTCTGTAACTTTGGTTTATTGTAGATATTAACGCAGTTTTTTTTCGTGTTTTTTATCAGCCCAAGCCCGCTTGAGCTGCTGTACCGCTCTCGTTCTCAGAAGCGCCCTGCCCACAACAACAACAACAACCACAACAACAACCACAACAACAACCACAACAACCACAACAACAACAACCACCACGAGGTGAGGCTTGTCAACAGCATGGCGCTGTTCACTCTGGACGCGGCACCGCGAGTCGGTGTCTGTGGGTCACAGGCGCTCAGCGCCGCGTGCCGCTGTTCACTCTGAACGAGTGGAGGGGGGCACCGCGGGGGGGGGGGGGGCAGGAGGTAAATCGACGCCGCCGCCACGGGGAGAGGGAGAGACACGGGGAGCGCCTCGGCTGTGTCGGTTGATCCTCCATTCGTTACTTGGTGGAGTGACGCAGCATTAATGTCACCGCTAGAAACCTCCTGGTTCCACCAGCCCACAGGGGATTATTGTGTCCGTCCGTCCGTCGTGCATCCAGAAATGGGTGGGGAGGGGCTGGGTGGAGAGGGGAGGGTGGGGTGGGGCTGGTCACCCCGTGGTGCCCTTATAAAACTCAACGTTTAACCTACTCACGCCGGCTTGTGCCCGCCCTCACAGTCGGGCATATTTGCGGAATACACCACGCCGCCGTTGACCCTGCAGGCCATTGACCGAGCAACCCGACGTTCCTACCAGCTCCCTCCGCAGCAGCAGGAATGTTGTTTAATCGCAACTTAGAGGTATGAAGCCAGGCTCAGATGTCCTTGACTGATGGGATGAACAGATCTGACGTCAGCTGCTGCACGTGTGTGTGCTGTGTGCCACCCAGCCCCTCCCCACCCAGCCCCACCCCTCCCACCCACCACCCAGCCCCACCCAGCCCCTCCCCACCCTCTCCACCCAGCCCCTCCCTTCACGACGGACACAATAATCCCCTGTGGGCTGGTGTAACCAGGAGATTCCTACCAGTATTAATTTACGCATTTCTGCACAACACATATAGAATTGTTTTCAACACCCTTTGCAATGTCAGCCGAATTTAGCTCTTATAAATATTTAGTTTGTAACCAGATAGCCAAAATTGTGTGCTCGGAATTTTGGGTTAACATTCATTAAGAAGATACGAGGGCTTCCAGGCATATTTATGATCATTTGCCCTCTCATTGTGTGCCATAACAGCCCGTGTGATGAATTTGGGAAACTTTTTACTATATCATGAATATCTATGAATAAGTGTTGACTTGTAAGTCACGTGTTACTATGTAAATATGCATTCCTCTGTGTCTCGATACTGACGTGTAGATGGTGTGGATATTCTTTTTCTGCCTGCAGCTGTCTCTTTCTCTGCAGAATTGGTCTGATGGAGCAAAGGCACTCGGCGCAGCTCGGTGCAAAAAGGCATCAATGCGACCGGTGTGCATACAGCACGGATCATCCTGCAAATTTGACACGGCACCAGAGAACTCACACGGGAGAGAAACCCTTCAAGTGCAGTGTGTGTGGGAAGGCGTTTGCACAGTCATCAAATCTTGTAGTACACCAGAGAACTCACACGGGAGAGAAACCCTTCAAGTGCAGTGTGTGTGGGAAGCCGTTTGCAGAGTCATCTACTCTTATAACACACCAGAGAACACACACGGGAGAGAAACCTTTCAAGTGCAGTGTGTGTGGGAAGCCGTTTGCAGAGTCATCTACTCTTGTAAAACACCAGAGAACACACATGGGAGAGAAACCCTTCAAGTGCAGTGTGTGTGGGAGGGCATTTTACCCCGAGCTCTCATACTCTGATGGTGCATTGTCTTTGAGTTGTGCGCCTTTTGGCATCATCTGGTCCAACCCATGTGAGACTAGGCTCTATGGAAAGCTTTCTCGGGTGTGGACCAATCAACTTCAAGGACAGTGCATACATTATCAGAGTTGTGTTTTTGGTTTGCATTATGACTGCAGGTATTGTGGTCTATGCAAACACGACTCCTTGTAAAAAAAGGTGTCAGTTTTGTTGCCAGATAGAAGGGTAAAAAAACAATTATCAAGGTTGATCTATATTCTTGGTTCTTTCGGTAAAGTCACGTAGAAGGGAACAAATTAAATAATAGAGACATCTGCAAGTTGCAAGCGGCTCGCATGTTATTTAGCGAGGCATAGCGCCGTTCTTTTGAAAGGCATTATCCTCGCCGCGACACGACCGCACTATGATGGACGGTGCGAAACCATGTGCCAGGTGCCTCGTTAAGTCTTCAGGGCGAGAGACATACCGTCATGGGAAAGGGTTACATTGCATTTATTGTGTCCATAGCACGCATATCGTGTGATCCACAATTCATTTTTGATTTTGCCAAGTGACCTACAAATCTTCTTGGTTCTTTCGGTAAAGTCACGTAGAAGGGAAGTAATAAAATAATAAAAATAAAACATAATAAAATTATTCTCACGACGTTTCAGCCACAACGCAAGTATCCGTCCTCAGGTGAAAACCAGGTCTGTCGAAGCGACAGCGTCTGAATGAAACAGCACACGAGCTTGGAGCGTGTATATAAGCTGGGTTGGAAGGGGGGAAGAAAGGGGGCGCCTTGAAAAAATAATATGCATATCAAGAGGAATTTAGCATATTTATGGGAAATGCAGATATGTGATTAGTACTACTTATGCCCGTGCATTATGCAGGATTAGCAGCATCAAAGGGAGGGGGATAAGGGAAATGCAGGTATGTGAATATGACTACTTATGCCCGTGCATTATGCAGGATTAGCAGCATCAAAGGGAGGGGGATAAGGGAAATGCAGGTATGTGATTAGTACTACTTATGCCCGTGCATTATGCAGGATTAGCAGCATCAAAGGGAGGGGGATATGGGAAATGCAGGTATGTGAATAGTGCTACTTATGCCCGTGCATTATGCAGGATTAGCAGCATCAAAGGGAGGGGGATAAGGGAAATGCAGGTATGTGATTAGTACTACTTATGGCCTACAAATGTTAACTTGCAACTTCTTCTTGTTCCAAAACAGTACAAGGTAATCGCTTGGTCAGAACACAGAGTTATGCAGAAGCCATTGACAAGTTTACCGACGCAATTAACTTATGTCCGCGCGATCATCGGTAAGTCAACTCCCTTAGTGTAACTTGACAATTTTTAAAGCAAAATTTGAATACTAATATTAACATTTCATGAGCATTAAACACTTCTATACAGCCAATTTGAGTTGATGGAAAGTAGCTTGGCAGTTCAACGTCGTGTGTGTGTGTGACAGGCATAATGCATTCTAAAGGCAAAATGTTGCGTGATAAAGTTGGCAGGATGGGAACATCACAGCGAGTTACGACTTAAACTGCTTGATGACGTCTTTCCAATGATTGCCGAGTTTGTACCCATCCTCTCGGTTGAAACTGTGTCTGTATATATGGATGGCTTCATGAACAAATCTTTGTTGATAGCCAGTGCGCGTACAAAGTACCTTCATCTTAGAGAAATCGTGTGAGCCCACCGCATTGAAACAATGATCAGCCACGGCCGACGCGTTGGTCCTGCCGTGTTTCAGATCCGCCTCATGCTCACGGACATGGTCCGAGACGCCAGGGTACTGCATATCCATATTCTTAGGTTTTTTCGGTAAAGTCACCAGGTAGGTAAAAACATTAAAATTAATCAAAGTAAAATAAAATAAAAATCACGACGTTTCGGAGGCAACACAAGCTTCCGTCTTCAGGTGGAACCGTCACAGCCACGACAGCTGTATCAAGTAGATGTGTTGCCTCCGAAACGTCGTGATTTATTTTATTTTAAGTTTATTAATTTTAATGTTTTTACCTACATGATGACTTCACCGAAAAAACCTAAGAATATGAATCCTTGCAGTCACGAAAGCTTCAAATCTAGAATTACTGCATATCTTTCACAGATGGGATCAGATTACGAATTTGACGTAGTGTTAAATCGAGCCTGGATCTTGTGTTAGCTCAAGATTTAGGAAATATTTTGGTGACCCCTGCTATGTATGGCAAGGTGATGGTTTTGATGGTTCTTTCCCAACGGTTGGGGTGAACGCTTTATGGATAGTGTGGTCCGAATATTCATTCATCTTGAGAGCTTGGTGTACATGATAAAGTTCACTGGCTCGGTGATGATGGTCGGAGATGCATGGAGCTCTATGGTGTAGCGTTTTGATGAGGGAATTCTTTTGGGATGGATGGTGGTGGGAGTCAGGTTTTAGATAAGCATCCATATGGGCGGCTTTGCTGTAGACAGAGTGTCCCATTGAGCCATCAGTTCTCTTTTCGATTAAAACATCCAAGAATTCTAGATTTGAAGCTTTCGTGACTGCAAGGATTCATATTCTTATGTTTTTTCGGTAAAGTCACGTACGTAAAACATTTATTTTATTTTTTACCTACGTGACTTTACCGAAAAAATCTAAGAATATACATCCAAGAATGGTAACTTGCCATCCTTTTCCACCTCCATGGTGAATGTGATGGCTGGGTGTATGTAATTAATGTGCTTGAGGAATTGGTTCAGAGCTGGTAGGCCATGTGGCCAGATGACAAATGTGTCATCTGCGTACCTCTTCCACAAAGACGGATAACAACCTTGTCAACGTCTAGCTTTTTAACGTGTTGATCTGTTACCTACATGTTTCCAATCAGATGCAGACATTTTAAAATCCTTTATATTAAGTTCACTTGCTTGCTTGCGCGCTTACGACCGTGCAAATCTTTCGGTCGTTTGTTAACCCGCTTCCCGTGAGCCAATCGAGCTGACATTTTGCACACAGACTCGTTGTGCGTGACAATTACTTTTCGTGAAAAAAAAATTCCTAAATTTTCAACTTTTTAGGAAAAAAAAAATTTCATATTTTATTTAAAATAGCAATGTGATAAAAATGGAACTCTTACTCAAGAAAAACAGAAATGAATAATAAAATAAAACCGATGCCACGCATATAAAGGATTTATAGTGAAAAACTTTGTTTTACGGGTTAAATTTTTAGCGTGTTGATCTGTTACCTACATGTTTCCAATCAGACGCAGACATTTTTTCCGTCAACGTTCAGTGTGATTTCAAGAATGTCTTATCCACATGGCCTAGTTCAATTCGGAGCAATCGAATTCTAAAGATGGTCTGTCAATTGGATTTGATTTCTCATCTGTGTCATTATTCACCAGCTTTTATGGAAATCGGTCATTTTGTTTGGAACATCTTGGCTTGTACACTGATGCCTTGTTCGATGCGGAGATCGCTATATATCTAAACCCAACATGGCCCCGGGGATACTTCAGACAAGCGCGGGCTTGCATTGGACTGAAGGTAAGGTTGCTGTGTTTGCAATCTTTGACAGTTCACGTGCAATTTGCATTACACCGTTGACTGGCTTTAAAGATAAAGGACTAATTACAGTAAAACCTTGGATTGCGAGCATAAATCGTTTGTAATCCAAAGCACTCGTATATCAAAGCACTCGTTGTTTATCAGTCGTGATCACGTGACAAAGCGTATACTACGTGTCCTGTTCGTATTGCAAGACGTCGCTCGTTTATCAAGTTAATATTTATTTTAAAATCCTTTTTATTAAGTTCACTTGCTTGCTTGCGCGCTTACAACCGTGCAAATATTTCGGTCGTTTTTTAACCCACTTCCCGTGATCCAATCGAGCTGATATTTTGCACACAGACTCGTTGTGCGTGACAATTTATTTTTGTGAAAATTTTTTTCCAAAATTTTACACTTTTTAGGAAAAAAATAATTTCATATTTAATTTAAAATAGCAATGTGATAAAAATGAAACTCTTAATCAAGAAAAACTGAAATGAATAATAAAATAAAACCGATGCCACGCATATAAAGGATTTATAGTGAAAAACTTTGTTTTTACGGGTTAATTTTTAACAAATTTGCTCGTCTTGCAAAACACTCGCAAACCACGTGACTCGCAATCCAAGGTTTTGCTGTGTATTGATTTGCATTCAAATGAGTTACTTTATAAATGACCTTCAATTTTATTAATTACACCGCAGCATTTAACTTTTGTAAATGCAGCAATGTGACGATGATGGGTAAACGCATAGTGTACAACTTTTTACTCTTGTAAGTGTCACCACCCAATATTTCCATTCCACACCACAATGATGTCCGTCTGATTTCCTCAGTTTGGACTTTGACCTATCCGTTGAAAGGGAATTTGATGTAAATGACCATTTTATCATAAGCAGCACCTCAGATTAGAATTGTTGTAACCTAATGCCACATTGGCCAATTTTTAAGTTCAGATTTTGAATTAAGCATTGCCAGCAGATTTCATGCACAGAACCACCACGGCATATAATAATACAATGCTTGGTCAACATTAATTCTAGATTTGAAGCTTTCGTGACTGCAAGGATTCATATTCTTAGGTTTTTTCGGTAAAGTCACGTAGGTAAAAAAATTAAATTAATAAAAGTAAAATAAAAATAAAAATCACGACGTTTCGGAGGCAACACAAGCTTCCGTTTTCAGGTGGAACCGTCACAGCCACGACAGCTGTATCAAGTAAATGAGAGATTACAAGAGATACCACTCGTATATATTGGTCAACATATCACATACGGTGGTGAGAACAAGTTTGAACCCCAATGATAATTATGGAAATTAAATAGTTGTACCATGACAGTCTTCTTGAATCAAAACCCGGTATTTTCTTAAACATCTAATAGGGTTTATATGAACAAATTCCATGTCTTCTGAAACAAAATGATGCGTGAGTGAAGCACATCTACAAAAGAATTGCTACAGAAGAAGAGATTCCTAAGTTGTACAATGGCCTAGTCAAAGTCCAGACCTAAACCCCATCGAAATGTTGTGGCAGGACTTGAAGCCAGCTGCCCTTGGAGCTCTGTAAGGAGGAATGGGCCAACATTATTCAAATCAGATAAGAGAGGCTGACCAATGGTCACAGGAAACACATTTCGATTTAAAGCTTTCGTGACTGCAGGGATTCATCTTCTTGGTTCTTATCGACAGACATGTTCTTCTTCACCTGAGGACGGCTGCTTGCGTTGTGGCCGAAACGTCGTGAGAATTGTTTTATTTTTATTATTTTATTACTTCCCTACTACGTGACTTTACCGAAAGAACCAAGAAGAGGAAACACTTAGTTGCAGTGATTTCTGTGTCACCAGTTACTGAATCTAAAGTTTAATATACTTTTTTCACACGTGGTTATTGAATATAGACTCATTTGAGGATAAGTAGATGTTGAAAGAGTATCACTGTATCTTCTTGGTTCTTTCGGTAAAGTCATGTAGAAGGGAAGTAATAAAAATAATGAAAATAAAACATAGTAAAATAATTCTCACGACGTTTCGGCCACAACGCAAGCAGCCGTCCTCAGACGCTGTCTCCCCGACAGACCTGGTTTTCACCTGAGGACGGCTGCTTGCGTTGTGGCCGAAACGTCGTGAGAATTATTTTATGTTTTATTTTTATTATTTTATTACTTCCCTTCTACGTGACTTTACCGAAAGAACCAAGAAGAGGAATCCCTGCAGTCACGAAAGCTTTAAATCGAAAACAAATATCACGTTTTATGTTTCATTTGTTTAATCGTGTTATCGTTGTTATTATTAGGACTTAGATTAAGATGTAATAACATTTTAGGTTTGAAATATGTAAAAGATGTGAAAATCCGAAGGGGTTCACACTTTCTCTCGACCCTGCAGAAGAAAAACAGCCTGTGGAGTATTTGGCTTTGTTCAAATTGTCCGTTTCAATTGCTCAGTAAGTCGTGGAGTTACTCACCCCCCCCCCCCCCCACCATTATATGAATCGTCAGGAACAGGTGTTGCAATTCAATTCAAGGATAAAATTACTTTATTTCTCCTTTGGATTTTCTCATGTTCTGTCTTGTACTGTGTGCATTCAAATAAGTCCATCAATTGTTGTATGCATGCATTTATTTAATTGTTACATGCCTACTGACCTTCCATTGCGCATGTAAGTTTCTGACTAAACACGTGTTGTGTTTGTTAATTTGACAGCGTTACAGAGAGGCAGAAAGTGCGTTATGTCAGCTGATTTCTTTAAATGTGTCTTCTGAAGAAGCAAAACAAGAGCTTAGGAAAGTGCGAACACTTCTCCTTGTGGTAAGCCGGTGCACCAGTGTCATACATTGTGTGTGCATATTGGAGTGTCTTTAAGTTGAGGCATAAGCAAATGACTTCGGACAATTTTTCACAAGGTAATTGAGTGCAAACGTAATCTCCATCTATATAAAAGGCAAAGTTGTAATTGTGTGTGTTTGTTCAAAATGTTTAGCGTACTTCCTGACATGCAACAAACTGGAAATTAGCCATGTGGCTACTTTCCAGACTGTACACCATGCAGGCATTATAAAAATACACTTTTTTTGGGGGGGGGAGCTCAATAATGCATTTATTTTTTGCACGGCAAGTGAGCTGTGACGTCAAATCTGTCACGTGACCCGCGCATGTGGAAGCGTAACGCAATGTAGTGTAGTGGTTAGCGTGCCACGCTATGAACGCGGCGTCCCGAGTTCGATTCCCGCTCACGGCCACCGCCGGTGACGATTATTTCAACCGCTCCTGGGCCTCCCCTAGGTCGACTCAGCCTCAAACGAGTAACTGGTGCGGTGTGTGAACATCGCCACTGGGTGAAGCCGGGTAGTACAGCTCGTGTGTGTATTCATGTAAAGTGATTTTCACAGCTGATAAAGTCGTGCGGAACTTTAATGAGAATGTATATATGGCAGAGGTCGCTAACGGGTTTTGATTCCTTACCCATACCCGTACCCGGCCGCACCAGGGTCGCAAATGGGTACCCGTTCCCTACCCGTACCCTACCCGAAATGAGTGACGAACGGTGAATCACCAGTGACTCACGGCCTACCCGTACCCGTACCCGGCCGCACCAGGGTCGCAAACGGCTACCCGTACCCTACCCGATACGGGTATCGGGTACCCGGTTGCGACCTCTGATATATGGTACCCTACCCGATACCCAGCCGGGTATCGGGTAGGGTACGGGTATCGGGTACCCGGTTGCGACCTCTGATAAATGGTAATGTTGCCCTTTGACCTTGAGCGAAATGGACATTTTGGCCTCGTGCCAAATTCATGATCGCTTGCAGAGTGCCAATTGCCATCTCGCACGCGTGGAATTAATAAGTTAGCACCGTCGTATGTGAAAACCGGTTAGATTTAAAGCTTTCGTGACTGCAGGGATTCATATTGTTGGTTGTTTCGGTAAAGTCACGTAGAAGGGAAATAATAAAATAATATTGTTTTATTGTTTAATATAATATTGTTTAATACTAATATTATTTTATTATTATTTTACCTAGAATACACATCTGGTTTGCCGATGTTTCTCTGCGCTTTTGTAGGAGATGGGCTTTCCACAGCAGCAGTCGGAGGCTGCAATCTTGGAGTACGACACGGTGTACGCCGCTTCAGAAGCACTGCTTCGAAACACAGGTGCTTATTGCAAAGCTTGTATTTTTGAAATGCCGTGTTTGTTGCCATAATTGTCCTAATCCCTATGATGAGCTTTGCTTAGCGTGGATGCTTGATGTGGATGGATACTACAGCTCTGCACAGCGATCTCGCCACGGTGGTAGCAAGATGTTAACTACCTCGCCTGGTATACAGGAGGTCGTGGGTTCTGTGAGATGTTAACTAGCTCGCCTGGTATACAGGAGGTCGTGGGTTCTGTGAGATGTTAACTACCTCGCCTGGCATACAGGAGGTCGTGGGTTCTGTGAGATGTTAACTACCTCGCCTGGTATACAGGAGGTCGTGGGTTCTGTGAGATGTTAACTACCTCGCCTGGTATACAGGAGGTCGTGGGTTCTGTGAGATGTTAACTACCTCGCCTGGCATACAGGAGGTCGTGGGTTCCATCCCAACCCTGACGCCTGCTGCTGTGTATTGGGAGCTTGCGTGCTCTGTCCATGGTTTTCCCCTTCACATTTAGAAGCATGCGTGTTTAGAGTATTTGCTATAAATTTCCACAAGTCACTTCATTGAGCTTCATTTGTGGCCAGTTGTCATCTGAAAAAGAGATGTTTAGCTTAGTGGCCTTACCTGATAACATTTAAAGTTTGATTCTAGATTGGAAGTTTTCGTGACTGCAAGGATCCATACTCTTTGGTTCTTTCGGAAAAGTCACGTAGGTAGAAAATAAAAATAATGATAAAATTTAAAATACAAATGAAATTAACTCAATTTTAGTTATTTTCATCTTTAAAATTAAAATAACTAAACTTTAGTTATTTTAATTTTACATCTTAATTTTATTCTTTTTTTCACCTACGTGACTTTACCGAAAGAACCAAAGAGTATTTAAAGGTTAGTATCGATTTTAGCAGCAGCCATAACACTCGTCAATTCACAAACTCGGAACTTAAGTACTCACCAATCAGCTGACTGTCACTGATTGCGGTTTGCTCTAATTACATGCAAGCATCGCTGACTGTAACGAATGTTCCTTTTTTATTCCATTGTGTTAAATCACAAATGTGTAATGTATTTTAGTTGTAGACACTAATTGATACACTGATCGAGACATTTAAACCAATACACCGTTCAAAAGTAATGCAATGCTAAATCATACATTTCGATTTAAAGCTTTCGTGACTGCAGGGATTCATCTTCTTGGTTCTTTCGGTAAAGTCATCACGTAGAAGGGAAGTAATAAAAAAATAAAAATAAAACTAATAAAATAATTCTCACGACGTTTCGGCCACAACGCAAGCAGCCGTCTTCAGGTGGAGAACAGGTCTGTCAAGTAGACTTCAGACTCTGTCTACTCGACAGACCTGTTCTTCACCTGAGGACGGCTGCTTGCGTTGTGGCCGAAACGTCGTGAGAATTATTTTATTGTGTTTTATTTTTATTATTTTATTACTTCCCTTCTACGTGATGACTTTACCGAAAGAACCAAGAAAATAAATATTCTCACGACGTTTCGACTGCAACACAGGCAATCACCATCAGTTGTGAAATCCACAGCAAGAAAATTTGAAAAAAGTGGCGATTTTTCTTAACGTCAGCACCATAGACAGCGATTTGGCAGTTTGCCAGATGAACGAGTCCATCTTTGTTTTATTGTTTTATATTTTATTATTTCCCTTCTACGTGACTTCACCGAAAGAGCCAAGAATATAATGCTACAACATGTTAAAGCAACACAATCTGGTTATACCCAGCACGTTATGGGCAATCTCCCCAACTCGGTGAGTGTGACGATGAGCTGTATAGGAATGTTTTTGTTTCACGAACTTGTGTTCACTTTGGTGTGATCTCGCCTCACGTTGACCTCCTTTTCACAGATACTCCCAATTCACTTAGCACGTGTTTAAAACACGTGCTTCCCCAATGTATCGCCTTTGTAAAACAACAAGTTTATTAACTCGGCCAAGCTTTCCTGGATGAAACTTGTTTTATTTTCTTGGATAAAAAAACGTGTATTCTTACTTGCCTGGATAGAACATGTATTCTTACTGCCAGAGGTCGCAAATGGGTTTTGATTCCTTACCCGTACCCGTACCCGGCCGCACCAGGGTCACAAACGGCTACCCGTACCCGGCCGGGTACGGGTAGCCGGGTTTCGGGTAGGGTACGGGTATCGGGTACCCGGTTGCGACCTCTGCTTACTGCCTGGATGAAACATGTGTTCTTGCTTTGCTGTACTTGGTGGTAGTAAACCGACGTTTGTCACCATTTTGGAACGGTAAAGCAACTGGTGTTTATTCTCGAGATTATCAAAAGAATGTGAATCTTCTGGGAATGAGAACACTGATCCTGTATCTGATTTCTACTCCTGTTTCAGGTTCCTTGTCAACATCCGGTGTGGGCAACGTGGGGATACAGAATGATAAACCACCAAGTCCTCAGCCTAGTAAGTAAACTTGTGTATAACTAATATATACGTCGAAGGAAATGTTTTTTATAATTGTGCGTATCGTATTAGAAAGCTGTACATCCATTTCAATAAATGAGCCTCTTACACTAGAAATGTTTGTATGGAAACATGCAAATGGACAAATGCGTTCGGAATTGCTAACTTATTACCCATGAACTTGCATTGAAATTCCCAAACGAATTGCACTGGTAATAAGATGGAATGTGCATTTCATTCTTTAAAAATAAATAGTTTTTTTTGTGGTACATTTATAGAAATTGGTGTCTGGTCCAACACCAATTGAGACTAGGCTCTAAGAAAAGCTGTCTCGGGTGTGGACCAATCAACTTCAAGGACAGTGCATATCATTATCAGAGTTGTTTCTTTTTAATTGCATTTTGACTTCTTGTGTTGAGGTTATTGCAAACATGATGCCTTGTATAAAGGTGTCAGATTTTGTACCAGTTAAAAGGGTAAAAATCTACTACTATATTTTGCCACTGGTAAAGGAGATGTCTCATAGTGTAAATGCTTACCCCAAGCTTTCAATACTCTGATAGTGCGCTGTTTTTGAGTTGTGCGCCTTTTGGCGTCATCTGGTCCAACACCAATGGAGACTAGGCTCTAAAGAAAGCCGTCTTGGGTGTGGACCAATCAACTTCAAGGACAGTGCACATCATCATCAGAGTTGTTTGCATTTTGACTGCTTGTGTTGTGGTTATTGCAAACATGATGCCTTGTATAAAGGTGTCAGATTTTGTACCAGTTGAAAGGCTAAAAACCTGTCACTACACGCCAGTGTTGTCAGAGAGAATGAGCGAGTGTAGAGTGAGCTTAGGTTGGTGGTCACCTCCCTACGTGTCATGTGAACGTGTTACCGTTCTGTTCAGAAATAAATAGAGCTGTCTTTCCAGCTCAGTGTGTGCGCCTCGATCGAACCATCTCACTCGCATCATCAGGTTTCCTGTGTGCTGTACAAGTAACGAGTCGCCACGAACAGTGACAAACCTAACTAAATGGCCGGTGGTGTCTGGTTTTACGGCACATTTATATGAATGCGATCTAACCCAAAGAAAACCTTTATTATGCAGGATATTGGTCGCGAGAGCCGGCGTGTTCAACTACGTGGATCCTTTATCTAAAACGCCATCCTATTTGTGTGTTGCCCGCACCACGTTGTGCATGTACACAAGCTGTAGATGTCGCCGCACAGAGGAGCCAAGACTCACGTGGTGCTTTGGGCAATTCTCCAGTGCCTCCACCACCTTCGTGAGTAACGCACCATCGCTGTGACACTTGAATCCGTAGCGTAATGTCATGGTTTTGCTTGATAATGTTACTGGTAGACTTGCAACACAATATGCGTGCATCATTAGACCTTCTTTGCCAGTACGAAAATATAATAATAGGATTTTTCACCTTTTTTCAGGCAACAAAACAAAAAAAATATTTTGATGTGGACCAATCAGCTTCAAGTACAATGCCAATATATTGTCATAGTGTGTTTTTGTTTGCATTTTGACTGCAAGTATTGTGGTTAATGCAGACATGAATCCTCGTAGAAAGGTTTCAGTTTTGTTGCCAGAAAAAAGGGGAAAAACCCTACTATTAATATGCGTGCAATTGAGATACTTTCCAAATGTTAAGATCCATAGTACAAAGGTGGCATTTTTAAATCATCCTTTATATTAAGTTCACTTGCTTGCGCGCTTACGACCGTGCAAATATTTCGGTCGTTTTTTAACCCACTTCCCATGATCCAATCGGGCTGACATTTTGCACACAGACTCGTTGTGCGTGACAATTTATTTTCGTGAAAAAATTTTTCCAAAATTTTCCACTTTTTAGGGAAATTTTTTTTATATTTAATTACCAATTGCTTAATGGTGGCAGGCAATCATCTGACCCATAGGTGGCAGCCATCTCAAGCCAGAGGATGAGAGGACTCTAGCCGCCACGCATATAAAGGATTTATAGTGAAAAACTTTGTTTTTACGGGTTAATTTTTTGCATATAAAAAATGAAAATTAAGCACTTGTGAGCATGCTGGCTATGTTATCTAACGACTCTTTACCATTTTATTAGTCCGTCTGCAGTTTAAATTTTGTATTTTATTTTATTCTCAGGTATAAGCATATGGGTGGGAAATATCACTTCTGCTGTTACTGAAAAAATGCTTCAAAAGCTGTTTCGCCCGTAAGTATGTATTTGCGGCTATACGGTGTGTTACTATTCCAAACATCTAATATTGACTGCATTCACAATACATATTCTTTACCAAAAGAACCAAAGAGTAATGGATTCGTGCGGTCGCGAAAGCTTCAACTCAACATCGCCCCGATCGCTTTGTCACTTGTACAGATTTGGACAGATCCACAGCATCCGAATACTGGTGGACAGGAAGTGTGCGTTTGTCAACTACACGGACGAGGAGGCCGCTGAGAGAGCTCTCTGGTCCCTGCAGGTGCGTTTGTGGATGCCGAGGGAAGGGCCTCTATGGCATCTGCGGTCACCGTGCGCCTCTGTTAATCACACTGGTCAACACACTTTGTCTGGCATAAGGTATTACAGTGATCCCTCGCCACTTCGCGGTTCAAGTTTCGCGGTCTCAGTGCATCGCGGATTTTTCTAACTGATTTAAAGGCCTCATTATTATACCTGTGCAGTAACACCATCATCATCATCATTCATCATCACATTCATCGAACTGCACAGGTCTGTCATCGTCGTCATTGTCATCGTCATTGTCATCGTCGTCATTACTGGAGTCAAGTCTCAAGATGCTACTGTCATTGGTGAGTGTAGAACACCATAATACGTATCGTATGAGAGAGAGTGAATGTATAATATTAAGGTTTTATAATTAAATAGATTTAAGTAAAATATATAAAGTATAAATATACATATTTTAAACATTCTGGTACCCACACACACATAGACGGAAATTCCTAGGGGGCCAATCCTACTTCATGGATGTTCACCTATCGCGAGGGGTTCCGGTCCCCATTAACCGCGACCAACGAGGGATCACTGTACAACGGTTTTAAGTCAATTTCGGGCCGCTGATTCCAAATCAGGGAACAAATACGACACTATACACTACACTATACACTACACACTACACTATACACTACACTATATACTACTATACACTACACTATACACTGCACTACTATACACTACACTATTCACTACTATACACTACACGAAACACTACTATACACTTACATTATACACTGCTACACGATACACTACATTATACACTACTATACACTACACTACTATACACTACACTACTATACATATACACTACACTACTATACACTACACTACTATACACTACACTATACACTACACTATATACTACACTATATACTATACTATACACTACTACACTATACACGACTTTACACTACACTATACACTACTATACATTATACACTGCTACACGATACACTACACGATACACTACACTATGCACTACACTCACTAGTGCTGTACTAGTGACGAATTTGCCACGTTCTGTTTACGTGACAACCCTCACTAGTTGGCTGTGTGGGGTGGTGGCGGGTTTAACGACACATTGATATATTTATGCGATCTCACCCCCCAAAAAACTCTTCCTATGGACACAATCCAAGAAAAGACAGCAAAATATTGCAGAAAATACACCGTACTCCGACACTGTGTGCAAAAATCCCAGTGGGATGCAAGTCAAACAACAACAACAACCAGAAGACAACTTAGATTAAGGCCATCAGTCTAACTCTGTACTACAACATACAAACATGGCTAAACCAATGCACTTTTCGAAATCACCAAAATAAAGCCACGTGTCTCTCCCTTGTGTCCTCAACAGGGACACAGAGTAGCAGACACCAATCTGCTCATCGACTTCCAGAGTGTCTCCGCAAAGACCATCGCAGCCGCCTTTCAGCAGCCTTCAGCAGTTCCGCCAGAACACGGTAACGGCTTCTCCAAAATGCAAAGCAAAGATGGGTTTCAGTAAACTCGACGCATTGTGGTGAGAAGTTCAATCCGTCTTCTTGGTTTTTTCGGTAAAGTCACGTAGAAGGGAAATAGTAAAATAATAAAAAATAAAACATTAAATAATTCTCACGACGTTTCGGCCACAACGCAAGCAGCCGTCTTCAGAATCTCTGCCTTCTCGACAGACCTGTTCTCCACCTGAGGACGGCTGCTTGCGTTGTGGCCGAAACGTCATGAGAATTATTTTATTATGTTTTATTTTTATTATTTTATTATTTCCCTTCTACGTGATGACTTTACCGACAGAACCAAGAAGATGAATCCCTGCAGTCACGAAAGCTTTAAATCGAAATGCATGTTTTAGCATTGCATTACTTTTGAACGGTGTATTGGTTTAAATGTCTCGATCAGTGTATCAATTAGTGTCTACAACTAAAATACATTACACATTTGTGATTTAACACAATGGAATAAAAAAGGAACATTCGTTACAGTCAGCGATGCTTGCATACAATTAGAGCAAACTGCAATCAGTGAAAGTCAGTTGATTGGCGATTACTTAAGTTCCGAGTTTGTGAATTGACGAGTGTTATGGCTGCTGCTAAAATCGATACTAAACTTTAAATACTCTTTGGTTCTTTCGGTAAAGTCACGTAGGTGAAAATAAGAATAAAATTAAGTGTGAAATTAAAATAACTAAAATTTAGTTATTAAAATTTTAATGATGAAAATAACTAAAATTGAGTTAATTTTATTTGTATTTTACATTTTATCATTATTTTTATTTTCTACCCACGTCACTTTACCGAAAGAACCAAAGAGTATGGATCCTTGCAGTCACGAAAACTTCCAATCTAGAATCAAACTTTAAATGTTATCAGGTAAGGCCACTAAGTTCAATCCGCTCTCTGCCGCGTCATTATGCAAGTGCATGTCAACGTGGGAATGATGAAGACCCGCTCGCGTGATTCACTGTAGTTTGAGTAAAGATTTTGGACTGCAGGGATATTTAAAATCGATGGCGGTTGATCCTAATAATCCTCACCCCCATTTTCACCCCACTCAGTGCTAGCAGTGGCTGTTCAGTTAACTTGATATTTCATCTTCTTGGTTCTTTCGGTAAAGTCATCACGTAGAAGGGAAATAATAAAATAATAAAAATAAAACATAAAATAATTCTCACGACGTTTCGGCCACAACGCAAGCAGCCGTCCTCAGGTGAAAACCAGGTCTGTCGGGGAGACAGCGTCTGAATGAAACAGCACACGAGCTTGGAGCATATATCGTGTGCTGTTTCATTCAGACGCTGTCTCCCCGACAGACCTGTTCTCCACCTGAGGACGGCTGCTTGCGTTGTGGCCGAAACGTCGTGAGAATTATTTTATTATTTTTATTTTTATTATTTTATTACTTCCCTTCTACGTGATGACTTTACCGAAAGAACCAAGAAGATGAATCCCTGCAGTCACGAAAGTTTTAAATCGAAATTTAACTTGATATTTATTGTGTCCTTAGCACCATTTACCAACATGCCACTCATCTCACATTTACATTCTATATACTAACCAACACACTTGTATGGATATAATGTAAGCGCTGCTTTGATCATTGCAATTGTTGATTTGTCTCTTCCCAGATGAGTTTACCGGTCTGTCTCCTTGAATGTACTTCAAACCCACCCTGATCACAGGGCCACTGTGTTGTTCCACAATATAGTTTTTGCATTTAATAAACCGGCATTATGAAGCGTTCTGACTTCGTGTTTGGAGCTGTTAATGACGTGAAGGTGGCAAACGTTTTTCATGTCGGCACCGGCCTTTGAAAGACGTGTAGCAATTTGACCACTTGCTGTAAAACCACCCACGTGGATAAGACATCCACAATTAGTTTGAGCACGGGGCGTATTCACTTGTTTGGACTGTCAAATAAATAGTCATGAAAGTCATTGTGGTTGTTGGGGACTTTCTATTTGGCCTTGATTTGGAAATAGAAGTTTTGGTCAATTCCTATTTTGGATAATGCTTCACCTGGATTTCAACCAAACAATGAATGCCTTTCGCAGCTCTGCTGAAATAATGTCATCTCAGAATCTACCGAGGATGCTGTTGTGATGCTTCTCCGTATGTGACAGCAATCAAGATGTTCCCGTTTTTATAAGCCATACGCTGAACATATGCCTGGGACTTTCATTAGTTTTGATCTATAGTTTAGTATGCTCTTAAGGTGTTTAATAAAGTCTACAAATGTACAGTAAACATCAAAGCTTAACATACGTTGTCATTTCATCAGCAATTTTCACATCCTAAACAACAAAAGTCTTATTTTGCACGCATTCAGAAGCCGAGACTTTAACGTTGTCTGCAGCGACACAGCTGAATTTGCCACCTTGCAGATTGAGAACATCTGCAATTACTACTAATGTTTAAGATTAATATTTTACATGTTGCAATCATCTCAATGTGCTCTGCCTTGGACGTGTGTTCAAGGTAGAGCACAAGTCTTGCCTAGAGAGGTGGTTCAAACAAGTTGGTGCCATTCCCAGTCCAAGGCCAGCGATTTAAAGATGATGATTTCGCGCCACCAGGAGGAACTCTTTCTCTATATTCTAAGCCAGTTTCACCAAGCGGAGGGTTTTAACTGGAATCCAGCGACGTGGCCCAACTTTACGTTGCCAACGATCGCCGCTCGCTTGCAGACCTCACGACAATCGGTGAAATACCGCGGATTGCAAACGCAGTTTGTCAAGGCATTGGGGGGATGGGTATTTTGGCACCGCAATTGGTTAAGCCCCTTTTCTTCTTTCAACGTTGACATTCCGCTGTCTAGTTCGTGGTGAATATATTAGCAAGGTATTTGTTAAGTCTTTTATGTAAAAATGTCGTTTTTGCAAATATGCTGCGTGAATGACAAGCGGGAATTTATTATTGATTAATTTCGCTATGCCAGCTAATGAACCTTTTTCGAATTTGACATGTAGTGTTTTACAAATGTCACATTTTTTTGCGTTTTTTCTGTTATCGGTTTTAAAGTTTGAACGAAAAAACGATGTTTCATGTTCAGCTGAATTGTTGTTTGTTGATTAAAACGTTATAAGTGAAATGCTAAAAGTTTTCTCTTTTGCAATTTATTTTTTGTAATGAATGTTGCTTTCATGCCAGCCACTTGCAATAGACATCACGAATTGTAAATGCAAACCTCTTAGTATCTTTGATAATACATCTTATTTGTAACTTTGCATTCCGATGCGGTATGTCACTAAACTTATTGCGTGCAGAACTTGCTATAAGATATTCTTGGTTCTTTCGGTAAAGTCACGTAGAAGGGAAATAATATTATTTAATTGTTTCCCTTCTACGCGACTTTACCGAAAGAACCAAGAATATGAATCCCTGCACTCTCATATTACATCATCCCATGATGTAAAACATTGATTACAGTGATTTTTATAAAAATAAAATTGCTGAAAATTCATAATTCTGATCTCAAGGGAATAATCACATTTGTGTGGGTCCCTGCGAATATCACCCCCGGGCACGACTCACTCTGGCGATGGAGAAACTCGGCATGGCCTGCTCGATGATCATTAGTGTCAGCGTGAATGATTTGTGTGCTGCGTCGTGCGATTCCAAATGGAAATGTTCATCTCGGAAGTCGGTTCACACAAAGACTTGATTATCACTTCCTCTCATCTAATAATGCTGCCTCTCTCTTCCCCGTGCGTGTGGGTGTGTATAGCTCGTGCGGTGTCGTGTGTATGAGATACAACAACAATTACAGTTGCACGTGCTGCCACATTTGACGTGTGAGGTCACAACTGGTGGATGCAATTCGTATGATCAAATAAAAATGAATCTCGATTTAAAGCTTCTTTCGTGACTGCAGGGATTCATTTTCTTGGTTCTTTCGGTAAAGTCACGTAGAAGGGAAGTAATAAAATAATCAAAATAAAGCATAATAAATGATTTAATTAAATAATAAAAATAAAACATAAAATAATTATTTTATAAAAAGAATTATTTTCTTCTTGGTTCTTTCGGTAAAGTCATCACGTAGAAGGAAAATAATAAAATAATAAAAATAAAACAAAATAAAGTAATTCTTTTATTTAAAATAAAGTAATTCTTTTATTATGTTTTATTTTTATTATTTTCCTTCTACGTGATGACTTTACCGAAAGAACCAAGAAGATGAATCCCTGCAGTCACGAAAGCTTTAAATCAGTTGACGTTACACAATATGGAAATACATTATTTTGAACTCAAAAGCACGTAATAGAAAGAAAAACACCTCAACAATTCCTTGCTGTGGGTAAGCCGTGTTGCTGGTTGCGTACACACACACAAGCACACAGTTCCATCTAAGTAACAACAATGCAAATATGCTGATAAATACTCTGTTTCTTTTGCTAAAGCCACATAGGTATTAAAAAATGAACCCGTAAAAACAAAGTTTTTCACTATAAATCCTTTATATGCGTGGCATCGGTTTTATTTTATTATTCATTTCTGTTTCTCTTGAGTAAGAGTTTCATTTTTATCACATTGGTATATTAAATAAATATGAAAAAAAATTTTTCCTAAAAAGTGGAAAATTTGGGGAAAATTTTTTCACGAAAATTAATTGTCACGCACAACCAGTCTGTGTGCAAAATGTCAGCTCGATTGGATCACGGGAAGTGGGTTAAAAAAACGACCGAAAGATTTGCACGGTCGTAAGCGCGCAAGCAAGCAAGCAAGTGAACTTAATAAAAATGATTTAATAAACAAAACTAAATCACGACGTTTCGATTGCAACACAATCATCATCATCAGGTGGGAAAACCACAGCGAGAACATTGTTTTGCTACCTACGTGACTTTACCAAAAGAACCAAAGAGTACGGATCGCTGCAGTGACGTCAACGTCAACTCCAGATCGCTGACAACCAAATCGTCCGTCGTGCCAGGCCGCCATGTTGGCCGAGTGGGTAGGCAGCACGCGCCACGGGCGGACAGAGCCCTGATTGGCTGAGAGCCGCGCGTGCGTCACGCCTCCCTCCCATTGGCTGCTGCTGCTGGTCAACTCACCCGCCCACGTGGTCAGCACGTGACCTCAGAAACAGCTGCGACGTTCGTTTCAACGCCCCAGGCCTCTCACCTCTCTCTCGTTTGCCTTCCTTACGACGCTTTGCTCGACATTGTTTGTGTTGCTCTACACCAACTGCTGCTGCTGCAGGTTCGACGGCGACTGGTGAATCCCGTAGCGGGTACGTGGCCAAACACGCGTCTCCTCCTCCCTGTGCTACTCAGCGCTCACGCTCTTGACAGACAACTTGATCTCGTCCAGATGTCTTAGCCACTCGGCGTTGTTGGATATGAACATGATGAGTGATATTACTAACTTTTTTAAAACACACGCTTTAATGAAATGTACCCTGCTGTTTGTAGATTTGAAGCTTTCGTGACTGCAATGATTCATATTCTTAGGTTTTTTCGGTAAAGTCACGTAGAAGGGAAATAATTAAATAAAGTAAACATAATAAAATAATATAATATCTTTTAATGTTTCATTTTTATTATTTTATTATATTTATTAATAATATAAAAATATTTTTTTTCATGTTTTACTTTTATTCTTTTATTATTTTCATTAATAATATAATAGAATATATTTTTAATGTTTTCTTTTTATTAGTTTATTAATTTTCTTCTACTACGTCACTTTACCCAAAGAACCAAGAAGATGAACCCTACTATTTCTAGATTTGAAGCTTTCTTGACTGCAAGGATTCATATTCTTAGGTTTTTTTGCTAAAGTCACGTAGGTAAAAAAATTGAAATTAATAAAAGTAAAATAAAAATAAAATAAAAATCACGACGTTTCGGAGGCAACACAAGCTTCCGTCTTCAGGTGGAACCGTCACAGCCCGCTTACTGTATCAAGTAACTTATTTTTTTAAAAATAAATTTTAATGTTTTACCTACGTGACTTTACTGAAAAAACCTATGTACCGTACGAGTAATGGAAGAACTCCAGCAAGTGACCCCGAGGCTTGCCGTGACACTATACACTACTACACGATACACTACACTATACACTACTATACACCACACTGTTCACTACTATGCACTTACACTATACACTACTATACACTACATTATACACTACACTATACACTACACTATACACTACACACTACACGATACACTACACTATACACTACTATACACTACACTGTTCACTACTATACACTTACACTATACACTGCTACACGATACACTACACTATACACTACTATACACTACACTATACACTACACGATACACTACTATACACTACACTGTTCACTACTATACACTTACACTATACACTGCTACACGATACACTACACTATACACTACTATACACTACACTATACACTACTATACACTACACTGTTCACTACTATACACTTACACTATACACTACTGCACGATACACTTACACTATACACTGCTACACGATACACTACACTACACTACTATACACTATACACTACACTATACACTACTATGCACTACACTATACACTACTATACATTACACGAAACACTACTATACACTACACTATACACTACTATTACACTACACATTATACACTTACACTATACACTACTACACGATACACTACACTATACACTACTATACACTACACTATACACTACTACACACTACACTATACACTACTATACACTACACTATTCACTACTATACACTTACACTATACACTGCTGCAAAAGTCCAGGCCAGAAAACAACATGTTGTAGTTGTTGTTGACCAGTGTTATAAACACTTGATGTTTGTGTCCAGCAACGAGACGGCTTGCACTAAAGTATGTCAAACACTTCGCCGCATTTCACCGTGGCACTCTATTCACTGATGGCCGTCGAGCGCGTCACCTCAAGCAACTCGACAAGGCCAAGATTACATCTGCATTCATATAAAGGGCAAACTTGTGATTGTGTGTGTTCAACATGTTTAGCGTACTTCCCGACATGCAACAAACTGGAAATTTGCCATGTGGGTACGTTCCAAACTGGACACCATGCACAAATTATAACAAGTATAACCCGTAAAAACAAAGTTTTTCACTCTAAATCCTTTATATGCGTGGCGGCTAGAGTCCTCTCGTCCTCTGGCTTGAGATGGCTGCCACCTATGGGTCAGATGATTGTGTGCCAGTATTAAGCAATTGGTAATTAAATATTTAATTTGTTTTCCCTAAACAGTGTAAAATTTTGGAAAAAAATTTTCACGAACATTAATTGTCTCGCACAACGAGTCTGTGTGCAAAATGTCAGCTCGATTGGATCACGGGAAGTGGGTTTAAAAACGACCGAAAGATTTGCACGGTCGTAAGCAAGCACGCAAGCAAGCGAACTTAATATAAAGGATTTAAAAATACACTTTTGGGGGGGGGGGG